CTTGTTTATTTTCAGGCCTTTAAGACCCAGACACTATATCTTTTGATAGCCAGGCACCATCAGCTTTCTTCACCACATTTGTTTATGCACCTGCTTTGTCTTTAGTGATCTTGTTGGGATAGGTTGTGTGGTTCTTCCATGTGGGCTTTTTTGTTTCTCAGCTAGATGGCCGCTTGTTTATTTTCAGGCCTTTAAGACCCAGACACTATATCTTTTGATAGCAGGGCACCATCAGCTTTCTTCACCACATTTGCTTGTGCACCCATTGTTTTTTATTTTTATCTGTGTCTATTATTTTAAAGAAACCACTTTTCTCTTCTGATACCTTTAGGTTATTCTTCTAGTTCTTATCTTCACAGGCATCCCCAGCCTCTAGCCCCACAGGAACCATCCTAGAGAATTCTCCTGTTCTCCTGCCAACAGACTTTCATCCTTCAGAAATGTCCTACTTTAGAGTCATCTCTGACTATCCTGTTCTGATCTGCCAGAAAGGCCAGGTTGTGATGTTTCTCTGGCACCTTAGTGCAATAAAGGGCTCTCTATTGATCTTTCTATTTCTTATGATTATAGTCCATGGACATGTTCTCATATGACATATACTGACTTTTGATACCTTCTCCTTAAAGCAATTATTTGTGGTTGGTCTCCTGAGTTTCCCACTGGGAGAAGGACAGGAGCCAGAAGAGTAAGATGAGAAAAGTTTCCAGAGAGGTGCTCATCAGGACATAGAGAGAGTCAAGGTGGGCTCCAGGGACAGAACTCTCATTGAGATGTGAGATTTTAGGCCATTTTTCTACTGTGCTCCGAGTTGTCTCTTCTCCAAATACATGTTGTGTTCCTTTGTTGGGGCTGGAACCACTCATGCATCATTGAGTTGACGCTGGAATTCCTCTATCTTGGACCTGGTTTCCATCCCTCTGGATGATACAGCAACCCCAGGTCTGGAACTTCCTTGGAAGCAGTAGAAGCATACCTGAGAACTGCTGCAGTGACAACTAGCCAGTAGTTCCAAGATATGCTCCTTGGTGGGTATCTCTAGCATCACCTGCCAGCAACAGAGTTCACAGAGCTGGTTGTAGTCTGGGAATCTAGTGTTACTATAATGGTTGACATGCTGACAGGTCTCAGGAGCTCTTTAGCTCTTTGACAGAGCTGTGTATGGGGGTAGTGGTGGGGGTGGAACTTCATATAGTCACATTTTCCCTGCTCATCACTGTACTCAATGGTGGCCACTGCGTTAAACATATCTGGATCAAGGCATAGAACACACACACAGCTCTATTTAGAATGATTTTGGAGTTTCATATAAAGCAGTACATGGCATGGTGTTCCATGGAAGGTCCTATACCAGTGACCCTGGACAGAGCTGCTCACAGAGCCACATATTTGGGCACCACCGTGGCAGTCATTTTCCCTGCCAGTGCTGATGTCCCCAAGAAGCCACTGCCCTTATAAGGCAAAATCACTTTCAATTTTAATTGAAAAAATAAAACAAAACTTCTTTCCCTTCTTAGGGGAAAACAAATTAAACCTTGAATTTCATGATTCCTACTGTTCTTAATGTTGTCAAGCTGACCCCAGGGTACTTCAAATTGTAGAGTTTTCATCTATCCTCAGCATTACTTAAGGGTCATAGTTAAAAGTCGTTTGAACCGATTTGTTTCAGATAGGTATAATATAGTTTTCGAATTTGATATCTTATTTTGTTATTTTTCAAAATAGGCTTATGAAGCATACTAGAAAGTCTTTATCCTATCTTTGTAGAAGTAAAGTCAAGAACAGTTTCATCTTAAAAATGATGGTATCAAATTTTTAGCAAGATGCTTTACTTTCAAGCTAACAATAGTATAATTATTCTTCTAACCATGTATTTGCTTTCTGTACTGACTTATTACTTCCCAGTTAAATAAAATTTAACGTACATCCTTGATGACTTAACATCTTTACTTATAAATCTCAGTTATAAATGCTTCTCTTCCTTTGTGTATTTCTATTGGTGGACTTTTATGAAGGAGGTTACCCAAGTTCATCAGATGCAAAGACGAAAATATAATTGTAAGTCAGAGAAGGTTGATTGAAGAGTTACTATATGACAGAGGCTTAAGGAGAAAAGGAGTCAGTCTGTCAGTCTGACAACACCAAGATGGATTTCCTAGGCATTAGTAAAGTCACAAATTATATTTTGTGACTCACTGACAGATGGGCATCAATGAATTTTAAATTGAATAAAAACTGAGATGTTGTAACTAATAATGTATTATTATATTAAGCATGGTTAGACACAAGATCTAAATAAAGCATGAAATTAAATCCAGCCTGCATGGGGTGACCAAATCAACCATTCTGAACAAGTTGAAAAAATAAATTCAGTGAGCTACATTGTTATATTGTGGCATTTACATAATCTGTTGCCAATTTGAGACTTAAGAGTGAATGGGGTGGAGTTTAGCCAGCCAATCAGGTCGCAGTTTGATGACCTCATTCGGCTGCTAAGGAGGTAAATAGCTCATTGGGGGAGGGACACTCAGATACTTCCTATGAGACATTCCTGTTCACATGTGGCACTATGCTAGAGCCCTGGAGCTGAAGGAGTCATGCGGAGAGCTCTACCAGAGCTGAGATACTTCCACCACCATTGGATCCACAAAACTTTCCACCCACTGGCCTGTGATTTTCCTGTATTTGGTGTCATTGCATGGCTGCGTGAGTCTAAAGAAGAATTTATGGACTAGTATCAACATATACGGTAATGTCGGATTTATAGACTTGATCTGGACTGGGCTGGGATGTTTTCTCAATATTCAATTGCTCTTGTATATTAAACTCTGTCTTATACACATATGAGTGTCTATGAATTTGTTTCTTAGTCTACCCAGAGTAACACATTTATGTATACATATACATATGCGAAATATTGTTTTATATATACATATGTTCTATGCATATGTATATAAACAATGCTTCATATATATATATATAAATATATATATATATAAATAGGAGAAAAATGGAGAAATATACATATAAAACAGTGATTCTTACTTAATTTATTATATATAATATATACATAGTTTTCCTTGAACTGAGTTGATAGATCACTTGTCTTTAAGCTAACAGATCATACAATGAGGCTAATATAATGTGGCCCCAACTAGTCATAGAGTATCAGATAGAGTGCACAGATTTAGATAGGATTCAATAATTTCCTCTTATATATTTGCAATGAGAATTTAAAAATTGTTTTTGCCTTCCAAAAACCCAGTGCCCTAAATAATACAAAGCAGAAATACGTAATATTTTTACTGAACAAATGGACTTACATCACGATCAATTCCTTTTATGCAAAGGGCAGGGTTCAGGGGCAGATGACAGATGCCGGTATTTATATCCTGAAAGAATTCCTCAAGTCTGTCCATTTCTTTCTTCAGTACCTCCTGTGAAAAATCATGAGGAAAAAGTATTTACGACACTGCAAACAGCTTGACTTTTCCTGAAAGTTACAAATCTCTTCTCATCGATTACATAAACTAATTCAAGGGTTGTACATTTTTGTAACTCTGGGGTCAGCCAGGTGATGTACTGCGTATGAGGAGGCAGCGGGCTAAAGACAACAGGGGTTTGGGGGAAAGGAGGAACGAAAGAGTATGTGACCTCTCTCCAGGTTCCTAACACCAATTAGGAATAAAACAAAGCAGAGCACAGACTCAAAACAAAATATGTGGAGACAGTTTTGGCCAGCAGCCCATCAATTTGCAATTCGTGGCTTAAGTAATTATTAGCATACTCCACTTCTGGAAACTTCCTGAAATTGTAGTTTGTAACTCTGAATACTTAAACAGGATGACAGCACCAACAGTGCATTTTAGAAAAAAATATTCACATGTTTTAAGAGCAATAATATAAAAGTGACGATTATATAAAATATAACAATAATATCTGTGCACAACATTTTCTAGATAGCAATGAGTGGTTTTTTTTGATACTTGATGTCCTCAATTGTTAATATATGTGGAAAGTCAGTGACCAGAAACCACACCTGTAAGACTGTGCACCTCCTGATGAAAGAGGAGACAATACCACCAATTCATCCCAAAACAAAAGAGAAATTCCTTTAATTCATTTCTGAAAACTCCTTCAAGCCCAATTCTAAAGATTAAGGTATCATATCTATCATGCTTTCCTAACTCTTGAGAGATTCTTAGCATTGACTGCTGGCTCATTGGTGAGCAATAAAATCCACGACTCCTAGAATGAAGGAAAGTTGTAAGGTGGAGAAATGAGGCAAAATTCTACCAATGTACTCATTCTTTATCTGTTTTAAAGAGTTTTGTCCATATCTGGGTTTCCCTGTTGAATTTCATGGAGGGAAGTCTTTGCTCTGTTTGTTTAACCAAAATTTGCTCTCTGTTGGGAGCCCTGGTGGCAGTGTAGAAAGTGTTGGACTGAAAACGATAGGGTCGTCATTTCAAACCCATCAGCCATTGTCCCAAAGGCGGTCGAGGCTATTCGCACCTGTAAAGATTTGCAGCTCAGAGACCCTGTCTACAGTCCCGAGGAGTCAGAACTGACTCCAGGGCAGCGGACTCTATGTTTGGTCCAGTGATGTTTAAGTAGTGGTTAAATAACTGCCCGTGACTGATCTCGTGAGAATGTCTCCCACCTCTATCTCCTGCTATTGTCATCTGAAGGGGTGTTATCAGAAAAACAATAAAAATAAGATGAATGTATTTGAGTGAATAATGTCAAGATCACGACGGAATTTGGTGTTAGCGGTATAAAAATATCACAGATGTTTTTGTGACCCTAGAGTGCATCTTTTAACATAAGATAAAGATCATACTTACACATAAAGTGTATCATTATAAAACAGATTTATTTCACGTGCTATCAGCTTTTTGTCTATTACTAGAAAATCACCAGTGAGTTCTCAGAAACATGCAGGACTCCTGGAATCCCCTTTGCTGTGTCCCCCAGGTTGTGCATCTTCAGGCAGCTTCATATACGCAGAGCTTACATGTTTCTGGTCGAAAATGAATCCCATGCTTATGCTTTTTATCTTCCATTTTGCCCCAAAGCTGAATAGCTTCTGGAATTGCTACTAAATGATTACCAGCCAGGAAAACATCTTCAACTGGGAAAACATTCTGGGACACCTTATTTAGAAATATGTTCATATTGATTTCTTAAAGATTCCAGATTATCTTAAGATGAAAAGTAACCTTGAGTTTCCTTGAGGACAAAAATACATATTGTAGTCAGCTTCCTGTTCTTAATTTCTAATGTATAGTAAGGACATGAATGCTATTGACTCAATTCAATGGAGGGAAGTCTTTGCTGACTCATAGTGACTCTACCGGACAGAACGGAACGACCCCAGTGGGACCCAATACTGTCACTTTTTTCCACAATAGAAAGCCTCATCTTTCTCCTGGGGAGCAGCTGGTGCTTTTGAACTGCTGACCTTGCAGTTAGCAGCCCAACACGTAATCCATTACACCACCGGGGCTCCTAAATGCTATTGAGATGTCCACTCTCTTGCCACATCTAAAACGTTGAATTTAAGAGAACCTACTCAATGATCAGTGCAGGGAACTAGTGATGCAGATAATTAAAAAGAGCAAATGTTCTTTCATTAGATCCAGGAAATGAATAGCCAGGTCTATTGTTATGACACAATATTCTGACAACCATCCATGGGGTTGATTTTAGTGCAATTGTCTCATTTAGGTAATTGTATTTGTTTTAAAATAAATGTATTTAACAACGTGGCTGGTGAAATGTTAGGAAATCTAGAGCTAGATAGCTAAAGATGCACTAGAAAGCATTTGCATCGTGCTACCATTTTGAAGGGATTAGCCCATTTAGTCACACTCTCCTTCAGTTGGTCCCTTTTTATCAGGTTCCTTGAGATTGAAGCACCATGTCCGGGTGACAGACATTATCAGTAACTTTACTCTAGTAGATGGAAAAGTTGATTTAAGAATCATATAGCTAAATGTAGTTTGGAATTTGCTTTCTAAATGATGTGATTAAAATTTAATTGGAACAAATTATTAAAACGAAAAAAGCAACGTCACCACATGAAGATAGAGTTCTCAACAAACCTGTCTTTGAGGGTCACTGGCAGACTTGACTTTTTCCCCAATAGCTCCCAAAATTTTGAGAAGTTTCTTCTCCTTGGAAAACTCATCACTTAAGGCTTTTCCTACACAGAACTGGAGAGCAGCCAGAAGCTTCTGGTACCAGCTTTTAAAATAAGCTTCGTTCTGTGCATCCTTTAGCAGCCTGGAGGGAAGAGAGGATTATCTTTCTGTATCTAAAGCTGATTTTTAAACCACTTCGAGCAGGAACACTAGTGCATTTTAGACTAATCTGTAGTCAGTGGCTTTGGGCAGTTCAACAACCTAAAATAGGAGAAAATGTTGTTTATTTCTTGGATGCCATCAAGTTCCCTGTGATAGATAATGAGGATCCAAGAGTGAAGAATCAATAAGAAAGCTGCCTTTTCTCATTTCAATTCACAATGCACGTTTTCTTCACTCAGGCTTCTGAATTCTTTAACAATCACTTATCTCAAGAATGTATTTTGTATTGATTAAAATTAGACAAAAATCATTAGAAATACTGTTTACTAGTGACCATATTATGCTAGTGCTCAATCATACAGCTAGTCCTTATATTTTCTCCATAATGCCCCCACTCTACTAGATAACTGGGTGTTTGTTGCTTTGTCTTCCAGCTCCTTTGTGGGCTTACCTGGAGGAAGTAATCAGACAAGTTAGAACAGGCTTTTCATTTTGTTTTCAGTCATTTCTAGACTCAA